ACTATCAGGAATTTCTGGAGGAATTGTGAGCCGGATTCATTCATCTCTTCTGTTTAAGGCTCACCTCGTTTCAGTTGAGGAGATTCGAAAAATGGTTATCTATCAATTCTTTTTCTACCGGCTCCCAGGACGAGGATTCGAGATCAGCTGATCAGAGATAAGACGATGATCACCACACTCGATAAGCGTTTCAAGTTGCCGACGTTTGAGGTCTTGAAGAATGCGGTGGAAGAAGTGATGAAGGGTCAGACTGCTTTGACCTTTGAAGATTCTAGATCGACTTTTCCGGTTCCCTCCACGTTGTTTAAGGATTCGAATGATGTTATGAAGAAGATGGAAGCTGATCGGCGCCCCAAGGAGGTATCCGATGTTTCAAAACCTCCGGCAACCATCGATGAGATCTCAAAGATGCTCCAGTCGTTTGAGCAGCGTTTGAAGAAAGAACTTTCAACTCCCCAACCTTCGCAAACCACTCCATCCGGCTCCCGTCCACCTATGGTCTGCTATTATTGTCACTATGAAGGCCATGGAACCGGTCGATGTCAGAAACTTCAAGAGGACAAAGAAAATAAGCTTGTAGAGCAGCAGGGTAATAACTTTTTCCTTCCAAATGGTGCCCTTATTCCATTTGATCGTACCCGACCTATCCGGCATGTTGTTGCTTCCTATCAACCACCGAGACCGTCTACGAGTTTTGTTTCAACCGAATTCAAGGCCAGCTGCAGTACTCTTCAGCCATGGTATCCACCAGCCGTCTCATCTCAGTCTTTCTCTGGAGCCTACGAATCTGATCCCGCTAGGAAGAGGCATGAAGAGCCAAAACCCTACAAGGCCCCTTCTGTTCCCCCGTCTCAGACTCGCCGTCCCATCAGGAAGCCCTCTACCGTGTCCCCTAGACCTGAAAAGGACGAGATGGAAGTTGAGCCCGAGCTCTTTGAAAGAGGACCAGCCGAGCCTAGTCATACCGAGGTCCCATCAAATGATCCTGTTTCTCCGTTGCCTCCATCAAATGATCCCGTTCCTCCGTCACCTCCTTCCAAGCCCGCTAGTTCTCAACCCAAAGTCCGTTTCGAACGAGGAGTCACCAAAGAACATCCGAATGCTGTGGATGGTGTACTCAAGAAGATCTCTGACCTCAGGGTTCCCGATATTTCTGTGTCTGAGTTAATGGCCATTGCTCCGTCTATTGCTGAAGGAATGAAGAAATGGGTCTCCCGTCGTCGCGTTGAAGTTGGACCGGACGAGTTGAAGGTTTCTTCTGGTACTCTAGTTGAAGGGGGGTTGATAAGCGCACGCCAACTCTCATGGCGCACACCAATCTGCACGCCATTGCAGAATGGC